TTCTAGCATATGGTATGACTCAATAAATGCAGCACACATTATTTTGTTTAGTGATGACACTACTCTTGACAACATAATTCAGAACAAAGCTGCTGTTAAAATTGTGTTCTATTGTATTTGTGAGGATTGAACCTACACTAGTCTAACAAGAAACTGCCAAGTAAATTGCTTCATCATGATGAAAGTCAATTTCATTCTTAAATCTAACCACCTTGGAAGGCATCCCAGGGTGGTTAGGACAACTTTATAGTGTTGAGGATCCAGAATGCTTGCTCAGTAATCTTGGGGGTGTTACCCTTGTCTGCACAGTTCAAGACGACCACACCCACAGGGACACCTCCCTCCTAAGGTCATAAATCAAAAAGTTGTACATACTGCTTTCACTAACATTTCTCTGGCCCAAACCTAAACTCAGTCACTTGGTCATGGCTACCAGCAAAGAAGAGTGGGGCACGTTTTCTTTACATGGGCAGCCCTGAGCCAACATAAGAATTCTATTACTATAGGGAAAACCTGGAGAAGAAATATTGAGAAAACAGATAGTAGTTTCCTTCACAGCTTCTGAATTTAAAGCTTTAAAGTAAAATAATGTCCTACCAAAATGTAAAAAAATATATATATATTAGGGTTGAGTTTAAGAAGCAAGACAGGGGCAAACGAAATGTTATTTTTTTAAGTTAAGTCGTCATATACCAAAATTTTGCCAATATAATGCAAGACAGTAAAAACAGAATCATATAAAGCTTGTGAATGAGGTTTATATGAGGTTCAGGGTGTCCAGTCTTGTTCCCACTGGGGCACATGAGAGAAGTTTAAGCTATATACTATAAGAGCTGAGTTACAGTAGTTGGCATAATAAGAAATATTGAGAAAAACAATGCAAGCAATAGAAATAGAGACTTTTTAGGAGGAAGATTGCAATTTTAAATAGAGTGGTCTTGAAAGATCTCATCGAGAAGAGGACATGTGAGTAAATAGCTAAAGAAAGTTAAGGAGCATGAACTGTGGGTCTAGAAGAGAAGACTATTTCAGGATAGAAGTAGCAAGTGCAGATGCCTTGCTCTAGGAGTGTGTCTGACCTTGTTGAGAAACCGCAAGGAGACCTGTGTGACCAGAGAAGTGAGTGAGGAAAGAATGCAACGAGATGACCCCAAATGCCATCAGAGAATAGAAGGATGAGGGGGAGGGGACAGCCAGAGTGTAAATGACCTCCTAGGCCATCCTTAGGACTTTGGCATTTACTCTTTGAGAGATGGGCACCCTTAGAAGCTTTTGAGCAAAAGAGTGACATGAAAGAATTTTTATTTTAACAAAGTAATAACACCACTATTAATAGAGCCTCAATTTATTGAGCGTTCTACTCTTGGCACTATAACAAGTGCTTTATGTACATCACCTAACTTGATTCTCACAGCATTGCAACATCTTAATTTTTACCACCATTTTTCCAGATGAAGAAACTGAGTCTTGCAAAGTTGGAATAAATTACTCAGATTAATAAATGACATTCTTAGTATTTTCGATCTTGCGTATATCTGCCTGCAATGTCTTTACCGTTATTTATACTGTTTTATTTCTATCAGTATTGTGATAGCTCACTTGAAAGGTTTATATGTTATTGTCTCACCATAAAATTGTTTCTCATTATATTCTGTTCACTAATATCCTAAATAGATGTGATAAAGATGTATTCTGCTGTGTCATTATGAAGAGTAGTGTTACTTATGATAGCAATTATTACTCATTAGCATTTGATAAAAATGAGCTCTGTGCCACTGCACTCCTAATCTAAACAGAGCATCATAAATAACAAACCCTCACAATTGGAGTAGAGCTTCTGAACTTGTCTCCTTTTTAATCCCAATAATGAGGCATTTAAATTTATAATTAATTTCCACAGTTTTATGAGCTTCTCTCAACTCTCTTCTCTCCGTCCCCTCCAAATCTTCCTTTTTTTTTTTTTTTTTGAAGCTTCCCTCCACAGAAGTTGACTTTCCTGATTTTCATCTGTCCCCACTTGTATGGTCCCCACACAAGTCAGGCAGAACAGTCAGTGTACATGGGAGTGCCAGCCACCAGTGAATATTCAGAATGCTCCTATTCGTTTACCATCACCACCACTCTCCTAGCTGAAGATCCACCGTTAACTTCTGTGGGGCTCAAAACAAGAGTACCAGTGGAGACCCACATACCTTACATCTATTAGATTAGTGCAAAAGTAATTGTGGTTTCAGACCATGAACTAGGCTCAGACACATCTTTATGAATCCAAATAGGAACCATTAAAATCAACACATTTTTGCCAATGAGTAATAAATTTGTGTATTTCTGTAGTGTGAAAATCTGTACTTCAGGATTCAAGGAACTCTTGGAAAGCATTTTCTGCATCCTGATGGTTGTGGAAGTGTTTTCCTTGCAAAGCATTGCCGAGATGCTTGAAGAAGTGGTAGCTGGTTGGTGAGAGGTCAGGTGAATATAACAGATGAGGCAAAACTTCATCGCCCAATTTATTCAACTTTTGAAATGTTGGTTCTGTGGTGTGCAGTCGGGCGTTGTTGTGGAGAAGAATTGGGCCATTTCTGTTGACCAATGCCGTCTGCAAGCATTGCAGTTTTTGGTGCATCTCGTCGATTTGCTGAGCGTATTTCTCAGATGTAATGGTTTTGCCGGGATTCAGAGAGCTGTAGTGGATGAGAACAGCAGCAGACCACCAAACAGTGACCATGACCTTTTTGGTGCAAGTTTGGCTTTGGGAAGTGTTCTGGAGCTTCTCAACTCAACCACTGAGCTGGTCATTGCTGGTTGTCATAAAAAATCCACTTTTCATTTCACATCACAATCCAATCAAGAAATGGTTCATTGTTGCATAGAATAAGAAAAGACAATACTTCAAAACAGCAAATTTTAAAATTTTTCACTCAGCTCACAAGACACCCATTTATTAAGCTTTTTCACCTTTCCAATTTGCTCCACATGCCAAATGACCATAGAATGCTTGATGTTGAGTTCTTTGGTAACTTCTCATGTCGTTGTAAGAAGCTCAGCTTACATGATTGCTCTCAACTGGTTGTTGTCAAATTCTGATGGTTGGCCACTATGCTGCTCATCTTCAAGGCTCTTGTCTCCTTTACAAAACTTCTTGAACCACCACTGCACTGTACGTTCATTAGCAGTTCCTGGGCCAATGCATTGTTGATGTTGCAAGTTGTCTCTGCTGCTTTACGACCCATTTTGAACTCGAATAAGAAAATTGCAGCTGGGCATGGTGGCTCACGCCTGTAATCCCAGCACTTTGGGATGCCGGGGCGGGTGGATCACGAGGTCAGGAGATCAAGACCATCCTGACCAATGTGGTGAAACCCCATCTCTATTAAAAATACAAAAATTAGTTGGTCATGGTGGCACCTGTAATCCCAGCTATTCGGGAGGCTGAGGCAGGAGAATCGCTTAAACTAGGGAGATGGAGATTGCAGTGAGCTGAGATTGAGTCACTGTACTGTAGCCTAGTGACAGAGCTAGACTCTATCTCAAAAAAAAAAAAAAAAAAAAAAAAAAAAAAAAAAAACAAGAAAGAAAAAAAGAAAATTGCTCGAATTTGCTTTTTGTCCAACATCGTTTCAATAGTCTAAAATAAACAGCAAGTAATGTCATTAGCAAAAAAACACAAGTCAAGAAATGCCCATTAAAATGATAGGCATAGCCACATTTATTTAAGAATGTATTTCAATATCAAATAGCAAACACCAACAATGCAAAAACTGTGATTACTTTTGCACCAACAAATGTTACAGATCATGCAAACAAATTATTAAGTGAAATATATTAAATATGTCCACCTTAACAATAGTAAGAATTTATCTTCAGTTCTTTAAATCTTTTTTCTGGGCCCATCTTTTGTGTGTGTTTGAGTGATTTTATTTATTTTAATCTTGATCTCAGACTAAACACATTCTCAGTGATAGATAAGAATGTTTTTAAAAATGTAATTATATTCAAAGCGTACATATTTAATTATATATTTTATTAAAATATGACTTAAGGGGCACAAAAATGCCCTAAAATTGGAATAGTATGGAGAAATGAGGATCCACTATGTTATAGAGATTTTACAAATAAATAAATACATAAATAAATAAGTTAAAATAAATGAAGAAAAACTTAAGGTATTTTCATAATTTTTCATATACACCTTCTAAAATGTATTTTATCTAAATATTCAAATGTATTAAAATTAAAAGACAAAATATAAATTATAATATGAGATACATATTTTATATCTTAATTCTATTATAACACAAACCACCAATAAATACCAGTGTCTTAAATTATGTTAATTAAGCTAAAATTTGTATTTACTTAAAAAAAATAAAAATTTAGTTTTCTAGACTGAACCATTGACAATTGTAGCCCTCAATTTCCATCTAGTTGTGAATATAAATATAGTCAATCCTCATTATTTGAAGATTCCTTGTTTGCAAATTCTACTACTTGCTAAAATCTGTCTGTTGCCCTGAAATCAACACTGCTTTTGCGGTCATTCCCAGACTTGCCTATATACAAAAAAGCGAGCTTCCTAAGGTGTGAGTTTCCAACTGAACTGAAAAAAAGCAAAGCTCTGCCTTCTTGTTAAAGCCCTCGTACGTAAATAAGAATCCTTTTGGAGATCTATGTAGTACCACATTTTTTGCATTTTGTACTTTTAGTTGGTGATTTTTTGCTATTTAAAATGGCCCACCCCCAAATGTAATGTTGAGTGCTCTCTAGAGTGCCCAAACACAAGAAAGCTGACATGGGCCTTCTTAGCTCCTATCAGGAGAAAATACGTGTATCAGATTAGCTTTGTTCAGGCATGAGTTACAGTGCATTGAGCCATAAGTTGAATGTTAATGAACCGAGAATATACATTAAATAAGGTGTGTTTAAACAAAAGCACATAAAACAAGGCTATATATTGATTAGTTGATGAAAATTCTGTGACCAGAGGCTCTTGAGGACCTTACCTCAGATTTGCCTAGGACCCCTTATTCAGCATTGGCTTGTTCAGTGCTGAAGGCAACTTTATGGAACAGAAATACTGTGGATAACAATAATTAAATAAAATCAGTATCACATGTTACACACTACGTCTATACCTGCCTATATACAAATTTAAAAGTAATTTGAAATATGTAATACTGCAAAATGTGCCTCAGCCACTATGTAAAACTGTTGCTAATACTACATTTAGTTTTATATATTTCTGGAGCCATGCATCAAAGCATGAAAAGAAGTGTAAAACTAGACAGGCAATGTGAGAGGACGAATTTGACAAGTTGCTTGTCTTTTTTCTTACATAAGCATTTCTGCTCAGATCCTTTTCAAACTCAAAAGTGATGCAATCTCTGGTAATAGTAGTGGCCCGGATTAAAAATCTTTACAGTATTCCAAAACAATCACTTTTGGTTTTGATGACACAAGGCAAGGGATAAATACATGTTTTCCTGAGGTCTGGAAAGGTATTTATCATAAGAACTAACAGTAACGGGCCGGGCGCGGTGGCTCAAGCCTGTAATCCCAGCACTTTGGGAGGCTGAGACGGGTGGATCACGAGGTCAGGAGATCGAGAGCATCCTGGCTAACACGGTGAAACCCTGTCTCTACTAAAAAGAATACAAAAAACTAGCCGGGCGAGGTGGCGGGCGCCTGTAGTCCCAGCTACTCGGGAGGCTGAGACAGGAGAATGGCCTAAACCCGGGAGGCAGAGCTTGCAGTGAGCTGAGATCCGGCCATTGCACTCCAGCCTGGGCGACAGAGCGAGACTGTCTCAAAAAAAAAAAAAAAAAAAAGGACAGTAACATTTACAGGTCCCTTTCTGTCAACAGTAGAATCTGCATTTAAGTGATAAAGATGTCCAGATCTTTAATACATTTTTTGGAGACAGGCGGTGGCTTTCTAAACTGTGGGACCTGGCAAAAGAACCCCTCTTGTCCTAAGGGTGAAAATACCCACAGGACTATTCTAACTTCATACACCTGCATACACAACAGGTCACTAAGTGACTTCCAGAATCATAGGCCCTATTAGGTCTCTCTCCCCAATCCTGAGTATCAGGCATGCATTGTGTCTTGCATAAAATGTAAACTCTTTAGCACTTAAGAGACTTAATGAAATAGGTTCCAACCACTTTTTCAATCACACTTTACAAAACTCCCGTAATGTCTATTCTCAATCCTTCATGTATGCCTTGAATTTCCTTATCTTCTTGGTTTGATTTTGCTCTCCAGTTTTGCCAGCCCAAAATCTTTGTCCACTCTTTTTCCCAATGTCCAATCCTATCCCTTCTGAAGGCCCATTGAGAATATTGTTTCAGGACAACTTTTCCATTTTCTGTCAGCTATAAGGATTCATTCTTGCCTCAGAAATCCCGTGCCAATACTTCAACACTTTCCTTATAGCCAGGAACACTGTCTACATAGGTAATTGTGCATTTTTTTTTTTTTGCATAATGTAAATTCCTTTAAGACAGTGTTCTGTCTGGTTTATTGCTATAGCCCCATAGCACAGTACTTTTTCAGCTAATGTTTGTTGATAGAAAAAGAAATGACAAAGGTAATGAGAGAATGACTTTCAGTTGTTGTTTAAATGAATAGACTTCTGCCTGGCTCTGACATGATTTTATATTAGAAATATGTCAATGGCAGAGGATTTCCTATTATCAGATCCCACTCAGAGTACTTTGCAGCATCTTGAGCTGGTATGCCCATTCTTGTTCCATCCCATCTTCAACACGTGGGTAAAACGCCTTACTTCACAACTGTTTTAGAAGGCACTTTGATAGCTATCAGAGGCCAGTAAACATTTCACATGTTAACCAAATATTTTCACTCGGAAAATCTATCTTAAGGCAATCCAGTATAAACAAAAAGCCTTCTCTAAGGCATAAATATTTAACATTATGTCTAACAGACAGCATGTCTAAAATTAAGGGCAGAATTAGGAAAATTGTAATAATTCTACATGGCAGAAATAAATGCGGATTTACTATGGATGATAGTAAACTGAAAAGCTTATTAAAAGTACAGAAAACTATCTGTGAAATAATGCCAAATGACAAAAAATAAGATATTTATTTTAACAAGTATGATTATGGCAATGTAAACTGCATTGATAAAAGCAAGTGTGAACGGATATATACAGTGGTTTTATTAGCTGAAAGAGGAGGGAATTGTTTTTTTCTCATTTTTTGAAATTTGGGAAGCTTTATATAAAATTAAATCAACTTACTGTGACTCAAAACATTTTCTGTGGCTAACAATATGAATGAAGTTCGCACTGAAGAACTGCTCTGCACATTCTTATGAAATAAAAAAAAGTAAACCATATTTTGTGCTTATTTTGGATTTATAATGTAACTTATAACAATGGTCATGGGAGGATCTAACAAAAGATTACACAAAATGTGACAATTAGAAATCAAAACCAAAGTAGAAGGATCTTAAAAGTTGCTAAAAAGTTAACTCATCAAGATCCTTGAAATAAATTTTATTTTTAATAATCCAACTAGATTTCAAGTCAAACCTGGGGTAGAAAAGGAAACATGCCCAGTTACATAGATTTTCTTACCACTGTTTTACAAAAATTGTGGTAAAGCATACAAAACATGAAATTTACTATTTCTACCGTTTTTAAGTGTACAGTTCAATTGCATTAAATAAATTCACATTGTTTTGCAACCATAATAACCATCATCAACGTTCATATCTACACCTCTTTTATCTTCTTCAACTGAAATCCTGTACCCATTGAACACTAACTCTCCATTCATTTGTATCCCCAGACCCTGGAAGTCACCATTCTACTTTTTGTCTCTATGAATTTGACTATTCTAGGTACCTAATACAAGTATAATCATACAATATTTTTCTGTTGGTTACTGATTTATTTCACTTGGCATAAAATCTTCAATATTGAGCCCAGTTGAAGCACATGTAACAATTTCCTGCCTTTTTAAGGCTGAATAATATTCCATTCTATGCACATACCATATTTTATGTATCCATTCATCCATTGATGGACATGGGGAGTGCCCCCACTTTTTGGCTATTGTGAATAATGCTCCATATACATGGGTGTGCAAATATCTGTTTGAGTTCTGCTTTCAGTTATTTTGGGTATGCACTCAGAAGTGGAACTGTATCATATGATAATTTTATCTCTAATTTTTTGATGAAGTGCCATAACGTTTTCCATTCCCACCAACAACACACAAGCACTGCAGTTTCTTCATATCCACACAAGCACCTGTTATTTTAATTTTTTGATAATAGTAATCCTAATGGTTGTGAAGTCCTATGCCATGTGCTTCAGTTTGGAGTTCCTAATTATTAGTAATGTTAAGCATCTTTTCATGTACTTATTGGACATTTGCATATTTTTTAAAACAAATGTCTATTCAAGTTCTTTGCCGAATATCAATTCCTTATCAGATGTACAATTTGCAAATATTTCCCACAGTTCCATGGGTTAACTTTTCACTCTAGTGGTATTGCCCTTTGATACACAAATGTTTTTAATTTTGAGGAAGTTCAACTTATCTATTTTGTTTTTAGTCAACTGTACATTTGGTATCATATTTTAAAAATTAGTTGCCCAATTCAATGTTATGAAGTTTTCCCTTGTTTTATTCAGTTTAGGTCTTTGATTAATTTTGAGTATTTTTTAAAATAAGGTATAAGGTAAGAGCCGCCACCACCATCTTCTTCCTCCTCTTTTTTCTTCTCTTACTCCTCCCTCACCTTTCTTCTGCCCTTCTCTTTCTCTTCCTTTTTCTTCATGTGTATATGCAGTTGCACCAACAATATGTCTTTGTCCATTCTTCAGTGACTGGTCTTAGCACTGCTGTTAAAAATTATTTAGCCATATACACAAGGGTTTATTTCTGGGTTAATTATTCTGTTCCATTGGTCTTTATGTCTCTTTTTAATGCCAGTAAAACAGTATTTGTATGATCACAGCTTGGTAGTAAGCTTTGAAATTAGAATGTGTGAGACCTATATGTTTGTTCTTTTTCAAGACTGTTTTGGCTATTCAGGGTCCTTTGAGAGTCCATATGAAGTTTAGGATGGATTTTTCATTTCCTGAAAAAAAAGCCATTGGAATTTTGATAAGGATTGCATTGAATCTGTAAATCACCTTGGGTAGTAATGATGTTTTAACAGTATTATGTTTTCCAAACTATGAACATAGGTTATGTTTTCATTTATTTGTGTCTTCTTTCATTTTTTTCAGTAATATCTTACAGTTTTGATGTATAAGGTTTTTGCCTTCTTAGTTAAGTTTATTTCTAAGTATTTTTATACATATTTAAGGTGTACAGCATGATATTTTAATATACATATGCATTGTGAAATGATTACTATGGTCAAGCAAATTAACATATCCATCCCCTCATATTGTTATCTTTCTTTTTCTTTAAGTCGTGTATGTGATAAGAGCTCCTGAAATCTACTCTTGGCAGATGTCCATTACGCAATGCAATAGTATTAACTAGTCATCATGCTGTACATTGGATCTCTAGAGACTTATTCATCATATATCCTACATAACTACAGTTTTGTACCCTTTGACCAGCATCTCCCCATGCCCAGCTCACCCCTGTCTATCTTTTCACTTTCAAACTAAACTGTTCGTGTCCTTCAATCTAAAGTAAGTTTCCTGCGGAAAGCATATAGTTGTATTCTTATATTTATTTTTAAAAGTAACTATACCTATCTAATTTTTAAATAAATGAAAAATAGATCTTTTGGAAATTGGAGTCAACTCACTGTGTAACCACAAGGTATAAAAATAAGACTAGTATAGAAAAGCTAATAACCACTGGCTTGAAATTCTCGCTGCCAGATCAACAGTGTAGGAAGGTTTGAGGGGTACACATCAATCTCAATATTTGAAAAAAAAATTTCTGATGTTCTGTTTTAGCCAGCAAAGAGCAGATAGGCATGTGATGTGTTAAAGCAGATGCTGGATACACATGAACACCTATCACACACACAAATTTGGATTGTGTGAAAAATATACTAGAAGAACTCTTAGTTT